AAATATACAGAGGGGCCTTAGGGACATTTTGTCAGCCCAGTGTCTGTGTTTGAACTATTTATTACTTCATATTTTTATTATTATTACTTACAGTGCTAATCCATGTGTGACAAATCTACACTCAGCTAGGTAAGGAAATTGCCAGTTCTGTTCCATTAACAGCCCCTGGCCAAAGGAACAATGTTCCTGTAGGTTAAAACAACAATTAAGGGGCCCTTAACACTTCAAGATGGGGAAAGAGGGGATACTGGCAGCAGTATTTTCACACATTGCTGAGCTGCTTCAATGCATAAATTAACTCTTGGTTCAGTTACATCAGTGCAGTGTGTTGTGCATATGCATGACTGGTCTGTGTGTGTGAACCAAAACCTGGGCCTGTTGATTTATGAGAAAGGGTAAGAGAGGTTGAAATTAGTAAGCAAAGCCAAACAGTACCTTTGCAGCAGGGAATATCAAACAGTCTTTGTGACAGCTACTCACAGATGCTGATGTAAGACCTGAGGAGGCCCTGGCACGGCAGTGGATTGTTCATTACGTAATTTTTTTCATGCCCAGGTCACTTGAACTGCATTTTGTTACTTCTGTAGCTGGAGCTGTTTGTGCAGTGGAAGAACAGTATTCACTGTGGTTATATTAAATAATGAGTATAATTTATTGTAGTATAATTAGCAAGTGGATATATGGGGCAGGAAATATTGCTAGACCATTGCGGATATTTTTAGTATGAGTTTATATAGAATAATAATAATAATAATCATTCATATTTTTGCCCTTAATATAAAATGTTTTTTACTTATATTAGGGGGGCAAGGAGAGCAGCTTGTGGTATGCAGTGTGGTACAGTATGGTCATATGTCTGTCTACCAGTATTTTTGGGAGGTTGTATTGTAGAATGTGACACAGACAAGGTTTTTGGTAAGTCTTGAATGTAATGAAGAGTAGACTGGCAATATAACATTTTCATGTCAGTAAAGGGCGTTGTAAAATTGGCCAGTCCCTTAAGATCTTTTGATGAGTAGAGTTTACAGAAATAATTTGAAGAAAAAAACCCTCTGAAATCTAATATATGTGATAATGGAGAAAAAAAGCTGTAATGGTACATTTAGGATGTATTTTTTATTACTCTAGGTTCATTTCTGACATAACTTGTTTTAGTGAACCACTTGAATGATCTTGGTAGCTATGAAGTTTTAATAGCTAACACTTGGAAAGCCTTGTAGTTTAAACAAATGTCAACTTCAAAATCACATTCCTTCCTTAAGAAACTATCCCAGTTTTATTTTTTATAAAAAACCTTACATGTGAAAGGCTGTTAGAAGGTAATGTTTTAGAAGTTCCTGTAAAGTGGTGACTTTTTTCTTGATGGGGTCTTAGTACTGTGTCACAAAATTTTTGCTATATGTTTAATCTTCCTCCTTTATAAAATTATTTATTAAGCATTTTAGAGCACTGACCCTTTGCTTCATGCAGGATTTGAAAGAAATCAATGTTTTACTAGAGTTGATTAAAGAAAAGAATGAAAGAGAAACACAAGCCCTAATGGACATTCTTATGTGGGTAAAAAAAGGTAATAGGAAGGAGAGATTTTTGAGAAACCAAAGGTTTACATCTGAAATGTGATTCAGATCTTTCTTTCATGCCAATAGGCATTACCAGGCATTCTAAACCTGGTAACCTTTTGGAAAATAAAAGACTGTTGGGAAAAACTGTTGGAATAGGAGATTATACTTTCTTATGCTTTGAATAATGTCTCTTTTTTTATGATCTGTCCCTGAAATTTCTGCGAAAACATTGGGCTACATTAAAAACAACAACAAAAAAATCAATTGTTTTGCTAGTTCTGGTCTCAAGTAGTCTCAGAAGTGTAAAAACTGCAGCAGACAGTTAGCAAACTTTTTAAGATGAAAAAATGGGCAATGTTTTAAGAACTTCTGATGAGAGGAGTTGGTGCAGAGGGGCTGTTGTAGGCTGGGGGCGGAGATGATGTTCCAGAGCTCTCAGCACTGTCACCTCTTTGCTGTGCTTCTGTTACTTCTCTTGCTCTGTGACATACAAGGCACCACTTCTCTTGCTAGGAAAAAGAAACAATTACATGTATAGTGATTGAGAGATTCCAATTATTAATATTCCACTTGCTGAATTTTACAACTGTCTCAATAATCTTATTTATTATTAATGAATGAGCGGAGATTAATGTCTGCAGGATGTTCATTTTGCACCCTAAAACTGGGCATTTGTGTTTCTGATCTTTATTGAAGAGTCACTTAAAATAGCTCCACCAACACTCACAGCAGCCCATAAAATAAGTATTTACAGTGTTTTTTGCCTTTCTGAAGGCCCAAGATGAACACTTAACAAAGTTTCTAAAACAGTGCAGTGTGTGGTGACAGGGATCGTGCACAACAGATTTTCTTTCATGTCTTGGCATCACTAATGTCTGTGTAAGAATCACATTGCTTTTTAAAACATGAAAAACATAATCTTGCTATCTGAACAAACTGTTATGCTGCTGATAATTTTTAAAATTTAAAAAACAGATTTAGAAAAATGCTTTTTAAGAAGCCTGACACCTTCAAGTAAAGGCATTTTTTTAGTTTTTACTGAGGGGGTTATGTGTTTGGAGAACCAATAAACAATGCTTAAGTAACACTGCTTAGACTTTCACATCAGCCAGCTGGTATAGCCAGATACTCAGTTTTCTTTTCTTTTTTTCCTACTTTTTGGAGGTATTTGTGAGTAGCTTGATGTTTTTGACATCTGTGTGACAGCTTCTTGCATAAGAGATGAGCAGCATGTTCTACCACCCAGCTGTGTGTATTAGTCTGCACATCAAGCTGAAGAGCAGCACTTAGCCAGATCTGACAATCAAATGTGAACTACTACTACCTATACACAAGAGTGCATTTTAATGTTGTGTGCTTTTTGCCAAGAGCCTGATACTTGACAAAGAAATTGTCAGAATCTCTCTTCTTCCTGCCTTTTTTTTTTCTTCCCACTGATGTGAGTCCATGTTAAAATATCTTATTTTTTCCCCTGCAGTTTAATATGGTTTATCTTACAGATAGCAAAGCCAGTCTAATGTTTTCAGCAATTTCATGTTAATAAAATTCTGGCAAGCTTTTGGTAATTGAGGAATGTAATTGTTTTAGAAAATGCAGGAAATCAGTGTGTCATTTTCTGCCAACTTAATCTGAAGTTACAATCTGCTGGGTTTCACCAATGACTTCATGTCAACATCCCAACAACCTGTCCCCAAAGAAAACGGAGGACATAAAGAAATTACAGCACTACGTCAGAAATGTCAGTGCTGCTCTTCTCAGGCTTGTTAGGAATTGGTGCTCAGCACATTGTGAGTGTGGAGATGAGTGGGAGCCACCTGCTCTGACTGTAGTTTGACTGATCTGTGAACCTTAAAATCCTCTACACTTCCACCTGACTTTAAGCCTCTGTTGCCTTTCTTGATGCTTAAATTTGAGTAAAAGGAATTCATTGTCACAGAATGCACAGTTATATCCATAGTTCAGCTTTCCTTGTTTATGTGTTTGCTATAAGCCAGGAGTTAGTTAATACATGAAATGTTTTCTCTTCCTTTTTTAAATAGTAGTGTCTGAAGAGGAAAGATCTGGTTTCACCTTGTTTTGAACTTGGTTTTATGAAAGTGTTAGTCATACCTTTTTATTTACTTACTGTTTCCCTTTGTATTATACCCTTAAAATTCTTTTTAAAACAGAATTCCATTTCCATCTGTTCTTTCTCTTACAACATAAAAATATTGAGTTGTTTCTTGTGCTAGCGTTTATGTAGTTGAAAATATTGCAATCAAAATAAGAATTTGAGTCCTGTTATATATTTAAGCATTATGGCAGATACAGTTTTATGGTCTTTGAGTTGCAAGTAAGTTGAAATTTGTTAATAATCAAAGTTTGTAAAAAGCAATCCTCGCAATCTAAAAGAAAGAAGTAGAGGAAGGAGTTTGTTAATCTTCTAGGTCAGAACTTCCACTGTAATAATTTTTACACTGTGGTTAAGCTATACTTTAATTGAGTTAATGATGAGTTAGTCTGTGAGTAGATAAGGATGAATGGATCTGTCATGGATCAGGATTGTTTTATTCCAGAGATTCTGGTGGCATGTTCCACACATCACTTGGACTTGGCAAATTATTAACACAATTAATTGTATAGTGCCACAAAAAATCTTATTTTGATTAATAAAAACCTGAAAAATACAATTTGGAGAGACATCAGGCTTTTATCCTACCAATTCATTAGTGATCACACTGAGTAACTATTGGTGGAGATGCTCTCAGTCTAAACCAGAAGTAAAAATGGAGTTCAGAGAATGAGGGAACAGAGGAAACCTGTTTTTACAGCAGCTGGTTCTTTGTGTACTCCCAACATCAAACTGGATTTATGGCTGTCTCTAGGGTGGCAGGTCTTGAGGATGGCATTTAAAATATGGTCAGGCTGTGAGGGCTTTGGGCTACAGTAGATTGTGCTTTCCTTTTCTTTCATAAACTCTTGCAGGAAATATTTTAGAGTACCCCCAACATTGGGCCTTATTGTTTTAATGAAGTGGTCATTGAGCCCTTTGATGAAATGTGAGCTTTGTACCCATTGACTGCACAAATTGAAGTAAAAAAATTATGAAAGGAAACAAGAAATGAATGTGTAGTTATAAAGTAGGCATAGGTCTGAAGAACATAAGGCAGAGATGAATTTGGATCAGTGTAACAAGGACTGATACCTAAAAAAGAACCTGGGAGTAAAAGAAGTCATGAGCTCTAAAACTGTCTAAACTGAATTGCTGCTTTGTAAGGAGAGAAGTCCCCCTTATTTTTTTTTTTTGGTTTTACTTATTTAATTTTCCAGATTTGAAGGTAGTAAGAGAAGTAATTGCACCTGGTTTTGCCATTGAAATACAACTACTTTTATACTTCTCTGTTTATATCTTGGTTTTTAAGTGTAATTTTCTGTTTGAATTTTGCTCCTCCAAAACAGAAGAAAAAACTTCTTGAAGAACTTGGGGAGAACAGACTTCCATATCTGACGCCAGCCGACGCTGATTTCCACCAGCTGGTAATGTATTTCTTTTAAATCATTTTAAACTAAAATGGCTGCTTGCACTGAACAACAAATAAATCTTCCTTCAAAGAGACACTGTGAAATCTGATATGAAAAAAGGTATCCTGATAGCTGATAATGCACTTCCAGGTGGAGTGGAATAAGATCTCTAGAACTGGGATGATCTAGATGATCTCTAGAACTTGCTGAACTTTATTTTTATGTGTGTGCCCTCACTACAAGTAATGTATAACATTTAATCACAGCTTTTCATGCTTTGGTGAAGCAAAATAAATGTCACCATTCCTTTAATTTATTTTTTCAGAGTGGTGAAGAGATCTTTATAGCTCCTGTTTGGCAAAATAGGGGGAATATTAACGTAGAAATTTCAAGTATGAGGAGCTTAATTCTACTTTCCAGCAATAAGGAATTGTTAATTCTTGGCTTGCAAAACAAACTGTGGAAATGGAATGCCTCAAATGAAACCAAACAGAGGGATCAGGCCCAGTAGCCACATGAGCAGTAAACCAAGTGAGTGTATGCAAGAATATAGTGAATAAATAGAATTTTCTGCATCTGTCTTGGATCTTTCTAGATCAGCTACAGAATTCAGGGTAGGTTCAATCAGATCAAATTGGATCATGGTGAGAGAAAAAGCATAAGGAATAACCTGGCTGTTTGAAGAGCTCCAGTGACCATGCTCACATTACACAACACAGGAGTGGTGCCTGCCTTGTGTTGATACATGGCTCAAAGATGTGCAAGTGTAGAGGAGCTGGGAGAATTTATAAGAGTAACAGCAGATGGATTTTATTATTTCTTCTTTTTATACACAAAAACCCCAACACATTCTTTTCAGTCTTAAACTGAATGCTCATGAAGAAATTCTTCCCCCTTGTAAGAAGTGTGCAGCTGACTTTTCCTCCATCCTAGTCCTGTTACATCCCCTCCTGTTTGTTCTCTTCTGCCTCTGATGCTGCCAAGAGCTGCTGTGCCCAGCATCTTTTTCATATCTTTGTAAATTCAGCTTCTCCTGGTGCTGATGTGAAAAGAGAAGGTGGCATCTCATTTGCTCAGGGTCAGTAACCCATAAGTACAGAAGACAATGGGAACAAGATAAGCAGTAAAATCACACCTGTTCAAATCCTTAATAAATTTTCGATAGATTCTTTTTGCAAATATAGAATTATACTTTTTATGTAGTGTATGTGTGATGCTAGATATTTTAAGTCTATAGACTAATCATAAGCATCACAAACACCTTTTGAAGTCTGTGGTGGTTATGAAATGTTCATGGAATCACAGCTGTAGAAATTGCAAGTTCCAGGGTGCTTAAATGCACTACAGCTGGAGAGGAAAAGAGAGCTTGAAGACAACAAATCAGCAAAGTAAAATTTCACATACAGTTTAGTTTTATAGGCTGTCTTTCCTGGACAGACCTGCCCTATTCCTTGAAGGATCTATCTCTTATGAAACAGTACTCTTTGAACATGTTGGAAAAGTTAGGTAGGGTTGGTATGGAAGTGTACAGCCTGAACAGAAGTAAGAAATTCCATCACAAGCAAAACTTCCACTGACATCCTCTTTCCATGTGTTTTTCCTGATAACGGATTTTGGAAATGGGCCCCAAGCCATCAGCTGAAACAATGTAATGTTTAAAGCCAGTACAGAACAAGAAGGGGGCTGTAACAAGGGAGTTCACAAATATTTGAAGTACAGACTATAATTTCATGATGCACATGGTGGTTTGCTTATCAAGGGTCCTTGTTGCTGATTCCTAATTTTATTCTGTCACTCAAGTCCATAGGGTGGTTCTCTGTGTTGAGTATCACCATCAAAAAGTGAAAGCATGTTTAAAATTTTGTGTAATAGTCACAACAAGGTTTGAACATCAAATGTGGTTGGTTTTTTTTCTGTACTCTGGTTGCCTGTAATGCTGCCACTTCTTTCAGAGTGAGCAGTGAGCTGACCTTTAGTACTGGCTGTCAGAGTTACAACACAGAGTACATGATTGCTGCCCTCCCCACCCCCCAAAACAACAAGGTGTCCAGTGTGAGCCCAGCAGTCACCCCGTGTTCTGATCCTGTAATTCTTTCCTCATGGAGGGCACAGCACAGGCACTGCTTGGGGATTTATAGAAGACCAGGCTGTTTTCATGTGATGTGTCAGAAATGTGTTTCCACTTCCTGATTTCTTTTGAGATACCTTAATGATAAAATAGTTCTTAAGCATGTGATCTTAAAGCACAACCCAAAGGTAACAGGCCTCTGACTTGGCTGGCAGCAAAATGTGCAAAGCATTACCTCTGCCGCTCAGGAGGGGAATACAATGTTGTTTCCTTTGTAAAACCTGTGTTCTTCCTTTCTAGTGCATGTTTTCAGGGATTTCATTGCTTTACGTCATATTGTTATTTCCCTCCTTCTGTTTCTAATAATTGTTGGGAATTTTGTGTGTGTGATTAATGTCAGAAATTCAGTGTATTTATATTTCCATATAAATGGTTTAAAAGTATATACTATTAGTGACTGTTTAAATACACCATAATAGCATATGTAATGTGGTATGAGTATGTCCAGTGTACAGAATTATTTAAAGAAATACTGAGGTACTGCTATAGAACTGCTAGAGCTCTTTCTTTCATACAAGGCTTTTGCACAATGAAAGAAATAATAAAGAATAATCTTTATATGTCACAACATAGAATATTCTGGCATTCTTAAGTAACATTATGAAAGAATATTTATGATTCCCATCAGCCTATACCTTCACATCTGACTGTAGCCTATAGCTCCAAGTGCTGAATTTACACTTACTAATTTCATTAGTTGTTGTTTTTAAGGACTTTCTTCACTGTACTGTTCAAAGGCTGGAGATACACAGCACTGATAGAAACAAAAGGGGCAGTTCAGGACCTCTAAAGGAATGATTTCAGGCTTTTGACAAGCTCGGGTGAATGTAGTTTTTCAAGTTTGGATTCATTTCTTTGAATGCAAGCTGTGATCTTGTGTTCTGGGGTTGTAGAGGGACCTTCACACAGATCTGGGACTGTTTTCAAGCTTTGCTGTTTGAAGCTAAGCATGTAAATACAATTGTCAGAAATTATTGTCTGTAGATGCTGTTACAGGGGTTCATTTTCCTCTCTCTAGGAAGCTGGTTTTTGGAACCATAAGATTGTATAAAGAAAAGGAGTTAACTTCACTGTAAAAATTTACAAGGAATAGTGGAGAGGTTTATAGATAAACCAAGATTTATTATATGTAATCATTATTTTTAAAATAGGCTTCCTTTTATGTTCTCCTTTTTAGTAGAAACAAATGATCCTATAAAGCCAGCTCTTCAGTGTTATAGGATAACAGTGCATTATGATGCAAAAATCTGTTTTCATGCAGTGGAAAATGTGAATACTTACTGCCTGGTTTGTATTTTTTAAGGGCACGTTCTTTGGATTTTAAAATTAATTTCCTGAAAGGCAGGTTCAAATGAGACTTGGAAGTAGATAGTGCTGGTAAAGTGGGTTTGAGTTGTGCCAGAAGGAGCTCACAGATGGGTTGTAGGTCCGTGTGGTGTTTTGTGCCGGTGACTTTTATTTGTCTTTTTAAGAGCACTTTGAACATAAGCTATTAGACTAATAAAAGTTTTGGCAGATCACTTTTATGCATCCATGTGCTTTTGACCCATTGCCTAATGCCTTCAGATTTCAGTCTACCTTAATATGTGTCCCCACACCACCATCAGTACCTACCTTTTCTCCAGACTCCCAAATAATTTCTGGACAAAAGGAAATAGGTGCGGTGAGTCCTCAGGAGCTTCACAAATGATAATTGATGCCTGATACACTCACATTACAGCCCCTCCCTTAGTAGGGCACTAGTGTGCATCTGTTTCTTTTATTTATCTATTAATTTTAATGAAATACGTAAGAACCCACTCTCTTAAAGAAGTTATTCCCCAGCCTTTGTCCAGTTTGACAGACAGTCTCAGCAGTAGTTGAAGCAGATTTACAGGCAACCAATAAAAGGTGTGATTATGTGATACTCACTTCCTTAGAAAGCCAGATTAACAAAATAAAATTATCCAAGCCTTCCTGGAGTGGGAAGCAGCACTGTGCATGCAAAGCACGAAGCTGCTGATTAGCAGAGTTGTACCTTGCTGGGAGTTGCTGCCTCCACACACTGCTGGGTTCTGAGCTCCAGCTGATACCAGGGCTGGTGTGGTCACAAGAGGATATGAGGGAAAAGGACACTACAGGTAGGGAGCTGGGGAAGCAATAACTTTGGACATTTTCTGTTATCAAAAGAGAGCTTTCATATAAAATGAGAGATAATTGGCAGGAACCGAGGAATGTGAAAATAGAAAGCACCAGAATGTTAGCAGTGTATTTAAAAAAAATGTACATTTTGATTTTGTTATTTTTTCCCTGAAAAGTATTGTTAGATAAAGCTAATTGAGTGTATCATGTAGCCCTCTAAATTTCTGTACATCAGGATGAAACTGAAGGGTCTTTGCAACCATTACAAAAAGAGGAATTGCTTTTTGACTGCTGGATATTCTGTTGTTTATATACTTTAAAGTGTCGTTATCTACAGATTCATCAGATGAGCTGTATGTTCTGCTGAGTTGTTCTAGAGTCTTTGTATTTATTTATTTAGAGATTTGTTCTGCTTTAAACCACTGGTACATATCCACAGCTTGTGCAATATACTGAAATATGAAAATAAAGTAACAAGTGCTGGCATCCATACCTTCACCACATTCTAGACTCATTCTTGTTAACTTGACAGTTTTGCCTTGTCTTGAAATATCTTGACTCCTGTAAAAAGAATAATTATTTTCCTCTTATTGCTGTTTGGTTTTTGTTTTTCCTCCTTTAGTGGAAGACCAAGTATTCCAAGCTGATCTTCAGGAAATCTGATACAGTACCTGAAGATCTCCACCAAATGGTACAGGAAAGCTTTCTGGCCTTGCGAGAGCACAACTGTTTCTTTCAAGATCTTGTGAGGATCAAAGGAAAAGACTTCCTTACTCCAGTGTCTCGTATATTAATTGGAAACCCAGGATGCACTTATAAATACTTGAACACAAGATTATTTACAGTTCCTTGGCCTACACAAAGTTATGACATAAAATATTGCAGTCCTCAGATACATGATGCTTGTAAAGCATTAATGAGACTTAATGACTACATGCATATTGAAACGGTCAAGGCATTACAAGGACAAAATTTGCTTGAGAACAAAGAAATTAAAGATACTACTGTAATAGATAGGAAGCAAAGTTTTGCTTCTTCTCTAACTGAGCAAGAATCTGTTTCAAAAGATCAAAGCAGTGTTTGTGTATCAGAGGATGACCGAAGTCTAAAGAACAGAACATCTTATAATTTGACTTTATTAAATTATATGGATCCCTTACAAATGCTGTACTTGAAACAAGAGCCTTACTTTGGAATGGGGAGCATGGCAGTGAGCTGGCACCATGATGAGAACCTGGTGGAAAGGTCAGCAGTGGCTGTGTACAGTTACAGCTGTGAAGGTGAGTGGTGGAACCTGACCAGTCACAAAAGTCCCTGAAGCTCTCCTGTGTTCTTTGTATGTATGGACATAAGCACACCTGCATTTTGTTCTAGGCTTGTCACGTGCTTCTGAATGCACTGTGGTACCTTTTGTATTGAAGTCTTATCTTTATTACCTCCAAAACCTGTACAAAATACCTGTGTTTACTGCAGCTGGCTTAGCAGTTGTTCTCTAACTAGATTTAAACATTGGTATAATTAATTCTCTGATTAAGAGCCAAGAAAATAAAAATCTGTCAAATAGCTTTCTTCAGAAAATGCATGTGCCTGTTTTCTATCCTGTAAAATGTTTCACTGTGGTTGGGATCACCATTTTTATAGTGTTATTTATCATATACAGAGTTGCTTTGCTTTATGCTGATTTTACTACTCTTCTTTCTTTGGAAATATCATTTTCAGTTGGTTTTGGATAGAAGTATTACTGTATTTACTTAGAAATATATGCATTTTGTCTAGGTTTGCTGTAGTGTTAATGTGTGTTTTATGGAGGAGTTGCCAACATTTCTCTAGCTGGGAAGAGTGGGCGCTTTGCATTAAAACAACTCTTGTCTGACAGACTTTGCAGGCTCTTGCTTATTTCAAAATGAATTGCATACAGCATTTAGGGGTGGTGGTGGTAAAAGTGCAGTTGAAGCATCATTAAATATTTAATTTTTAGTTTAAGGTACCTGCCCCATTTTTATTGTTATTTAAGAGCAAACATGAGGATTTTCTTGTTTGTTTTTTTTTCCCCTAAAAATGCTTGAACAAAGGCTTGGATATTTTTTTAAAGACTCTTGGGTTTTGCAAACATAAGATTAGAATTTAGAACCTTGATTTGAATTAGCAAATTTTCTGTTATGTTTCATCACTCACAATGGATTTTTTCTTCTTCCAAAAATCCTATGATGTTTGCTTCAGAACAGGGGAAGAATTTGCATTGACTTCAGTAGGTTTTGGCTACAAGACTGTGATATAAAAGTGATAGTTTATACTCCCATGTGCATTCTCTTATTGGTTTTGTTATTAGTTTTGAAACTCATTGTCACTTTGTTACTTAATGTACAACTGAAGTAATATTATTTACATTTTCCTGGATGTTAAACATCAACTGGCTTAGCAAATTGAGTTGAAGAGATTTCCTGACTGGTAAAAGTGTAATTTTCCTCATGAACTTCTTTCTGTCCTATTTGTCAGTGGTGTGAAGTAGATGTGTTGGGGTTTTTTCCATTGCTACTGTAGAGAAGTTTTTTTTCAGTAGGATTTTAAGTTAAAGAAACGTAAAAATAAACTTGAAGTAATAATGCTGTGTATGAGGATTTATTGTAGTATGCCTAAAACTTTTTTTACTTTAACATAAAGTTTGCTTATGGAGGGGTAAAAAAGTGAGTCCTTTAAGTTCAGAGAGTTATAAATTAATAAAAATGAAAGCTGCTAAGTTTATTCATAAGTCATCAGTTGATTTTGTTTCTTTTTTTTAGTAAGTTAAATAAGTAAAAATTATGGTGTTTTAAAATCATTGCAAATTCTGTAGAAGATTTGATTGATGTGGGTAGATAGAAATATTTTATATATTTAGGCTAAAAGTTATTTTGGTATCCATGGACAATAATTTTTTTGTTGAATACTAAGTTTTTTTCATAAATACACTTACAATTGAAAGTTTGTATTTTTTTCTGTAAAGTTTGGAAATAGACAGGAAAACAGAAAACAAGGTCTTTCTAGTAAATTGATTGATTTTTCTATTATTAAAAAAAAATTAAAAGTCACTACTTGAAATTCTTCTGGTTTTGCATTGCTCAGGTTGGGTTTTTGAGCTTTAGAGGGAGTTTCAGGTGTCTGCCATGGCAGTGGGGCATTGTGGAGAGATGTCCTGCAGTCCCTGTCTGTGTGCCAGCAGTGCCCTCCCATCTGTGCTCAGGGTTGTCATTGTATCTCCCTAAAGCAATGACCTGCTTATTCATAAACTGGAGGAAATGGATCCTGTTTGTACTTAGGAGTGTGGTTTTGTAACTGAAGTGTTGGTAAATATCTCTTTGTGTTGAAGTATTGTACCCAGTGCATCCAAGAGGATTTGATTTTGGAGAAGTAGATTGTCTGTTTTGCTCTTCTGATTTTCTGCTTACAGCCTTCCAATGCTGATGGTTATAAGCTCATCAATGTTTACAATATTATTCTTTCCAGTTCTGTATAATGTCAGTGTTTTGATGGTTTCTGCAACTTACAAAGACTTTCAATATTTCCTATATTACCAGGTCTCCATAACTGTGAAACATGAGGATGTCAACATCTCTTTGAACAATATTGTTATATCTTTGTGGAATCATGTCTTGACTTTTTATTTTCCATAAATATGTTTAGTTTTTGTGCTGACATCTTTTATTAGTACTTACTCCATTAATTTGTTTAGTATTGAGTTAGCATTGAATTCTCAGTGTAGTGTAAAAAGACTGTCACAGAATCACTACAGAATACATAATAAAAAGAGTAGTTGTGGTCAGAATTTCCTTGTTGGAGCTATTTTTCCTTAGAAGATGTAGCTGAGCTGGATTAGTAATTTTCTGGGAGAAAACACTGATTGAGTGGGAAATGCAAACACAAATTAAGCATGTTGATTTTTGTTGGAACTGGCTTGGTTCGTTTTTCTGCCAGGTCTTGCATGTTTATTTTGTCAGCTCTCGATTCCTCAAATCCCCAGTGGACACTGAGGGTCTGTGGCAGCCTTGGCAGTGGGAGCTCAGGCTTCCAGAGCTGCAGGGCTGGTGCTGCCCTGCCCTGCTGCAAATGCACAGTCCCCAGGTTGTCAGATTTTGGGCAGCAGCAGCCCTTGGAGTCAAGCAGTCTTACTGAGCTCTGGCAGCTCTGTCAGACTGTTTAGAGATGCACAACTCAGGTTATGTGGTTTTCTTTTTACTTTCATTTACGCCTTTATATCAGTGTTTGTTTTGTACCTACTTACTGGATTAAATAGCATTAAAACAGATACTACTGTAATTGAAACAACTTGTTTTCTTGTTCATTTGTTCATTGTTTGATGCCATAATGAAAATTTCATGTTTGAAACTTTGATCAGTGTTAATTGGAGTAGAAGCAGTTTTCAATATGCCAGAAAAGAAATTTAGACATCAACATAACGATATTGGAACAAGCTGATATTCTAATTGGTATCAGTGTTTATTTTCTTGTTTCCAGTGTAAAACTCTTTCGAAGCAACTTCAAATGAAGTACAATTCTAACAACAAAATAAGGTAAACATTTAGCTTGATGCTTTTACTTACATTGCATTAGGTTAAGAGTAGGTTGTCAGGTGATGAGAATAAAAATTTGAGAGGTTTCCTTTTAGTGTGTATGCTGCATGAAAGTGCATGAGTGGTAGTCATATGCAGAACTGAATAGGTTACAGAATGTGTGTTCAATTATACTGCCACTAACAGTATTTGGAATTAATTTACATTTCAAAATTTATCAAGGAACGGGAATTTCAAATTTTGACCAATTCAGCATTTTTAATAACACATTAGCTTACAAGTATCCTATCACCTGAGAGCATGAAGGTAAAATAGTTGTTCAGGATTTTACTATAGTAAGCTAATAACTCATATTTACTTTGTGTTGCAGTTATAAAAGTGAATTGCAATCCAGTAGAATAAGGGCATTTTCAAAAACTGGATTTTATCCATGAGAAGTTCCTAATGACTAGCTTTCCATCAGGTCAGTGTAAGTTTTGTAGGAAGTTTTATTACTTAGCAGAGCGCTAGTTGGTTCTAAAGATGCTCTTTGAAGTAGAGACTTGTTTCAGTAACAAACTTACAGGAGATGGAAAAAAATGTAAACACTTGAAGTGTGTCCATCTTTCTCTTACCTGGATTTCCCACAGAGGAAGAGATTAGGTAAGTAGCTTTCTCTAGATTCTTTACCATATCTAGTTTGTTTTCTTGCTGTGTAACTCTTGAACTTCTACACAACTGGCACTGTCTGCTGACAAGGCAATGTTAAAAGGTTTAACAAACTTATTGTTAGTTGCAGTGGTGACTAATCTTCAAGGACCTTTTGTGCTTGTTTCTTTTGTGAAATGCTAGTTTTATGTTTTTACTCTGTGAAGTTAGGAGCAGCATCCTGGCACGTAGCCTAACAATGGCTATTTCATTTAATTGGGAATAAAAGGAATTGAGATGTACTACAGATGTATATTTCCCTACCATATTAAAAAAAATTCTGAAACTACAAAAGTTGTTCTGCACTGAAGTCAATCTAACTTTGTAGTTGACAATAATCCTCTTTATGTCGTGCTTAATGGATAAAAGTCATGGAGTAGATGCTTTTTGGAATAATTGGAATAATTTCTAATGTCAATAATATAACATAAATATTACTTGTTGAAATAACAAAAATTGTATGTAGAAATTTTTATCTTACTTTTAAAGAAATGGGTAAGTGCATGAAATGGTCACAGCTCTAACTTGTAGGGTCTGACCAGTTTGATTTATGTTCTGAAAGTCACAAATTTTTAATGATCCACTAAATTTCACAATAATATATTAGAATCCCTGTTTTCTAAAAAGAAATCATCACTTGAATAGACTGTTGTGGGTTGTGGGGTCTCTTTTAAACATCTTCTCACTGATCAAATACAGCCTTTCCTTCAGAAGTGAAGGGATGACTCAGTATTATTTGTTCTTATTTTCATGCTTTTGTTCCTGATTTATGTGGATACAGCATTCCAAACATGAATCGATAAGAACATTGTCGGCAAAATCTTATGTTTTTTTGGTTTTGTGAAAGTCAGTTGCAAGAAAAATTTAAATGTTAAGAGAATTTAATCTCTTATACTATGGCTTTTCAGTAATGAGGTAGAGGAAGTAACTTTGGTAGATACTTCTTTCCCATCAGCTGCTGAGAAGCAAAGCATGTTCTTCTTCTTTCACTTCTTGCATGTAACACATATAAATTGCTATTGAAAAACACTGATAATTTATGTATTTTTTAATTGAGGAATATGTGCCCAAATTACTTTACATTCTGCAAAAAATCAATTTGTAAAAAAAAAATATAACAATGGTCAGTTGGATTTAATGTTAACGTAAATGCTTACAGTCCTTGTTCTTAGCAATGTGTTGGCAGTGATTCTATTTTCTTAAAAAATGGTATGTAAGGTTACATTTAGGATATAATTTGGCATTACAGCTTGACTTGAATAGAGATCATTTAGTTTTCAGAGCATCAAAAAGTCTCAAACTCTGGAAGATTTTGGAGCCAAATAGCAAAGAAACCTTTCAATGCTACTTTTACTTTCTGTGCTCTGAAACAATAACCAAAGTAGTTCCAGGAAAACAAGTTTCATATTGTTCTGAACCTAACCCTGACCCAAACCTGATAAGATCAGATCTTAGTGCTGGAACATCTCTGAAATTTGAGCTGTCTCATTAAAAGCATAATGCTGTGGCCAATTTTCTGCAGCTACATTCTCTCTTTCATGGGTCTACCATAATTACAGGTTTGATGAGGTTTTGTTATGCTGTGGTAAGATCTTACTTCATTGCACCATTTTATTTGGGATTCCAGCTTAAAGGTTTCTTGCAGGCCCAAGTCTGTAAATCTCTGCTGACCAGAATTCAAATCTGCACATAGTTTTGTTGTACTACCATTAAATACTTTATACTTGACCATTTCTGTATGGCTTACTACAGAATACATTTGTGTTCTTAAGGTGATGGATATGTGATCCATGATTTATTCACATGATTTATTCTCAAATACTTATGATTTAGATGCATCCAAATGTTTTCACTTACATGGCAACTGTAATTATATCAATAAATGTACAGCATCCAATCATTCTTGAGGTGTCATAGAGAATTTAATGAAAACTTATTTTTATGTAAAAGTTTGTCAGGATATGCCACAAATGTTAAGGTGTCTCTTTTTCCCTTGCTCTCAGTTTCAAGGTAGCTTGCATTTAAAAGCAAGTAGCAGCTTGCTTCCATTTGTTACCAAAATAACATGGTAGGAGCAATCAGTTTCAATTGCTGCTGATAATTATAAAGTGCAATAATTGAGAATATAGACAAAAGGAGACTGTGAGCTGTATTTGAACTCAGTACTTAAGCAATAAAAAATTTATCAAACTGCAAAAAATAAGTCATTTTAACGAGCACATTCCAAAGGTGCTGGATTTATGAGGAGACCCCAGGAAACTTTGATTGAAATTGCTGTCTCTGATTGTAGTTCTATATTTTATTGGTGCCATATTGTGAACAGTGCTGCTGCCAAAGTGAATGGGAAGGCAGCATAGCAGAGAGAGTTAACCCAGAAAGGTTACTTCTTTTTATAATATCCATGATGTATTGCATTAAAAATGCCTTGAAAGCCATCCTATTTGCAGTTTTCAGAAAACATTTTTCTTAAATTAAGTTACGATTTATCTGAACAGGGTAGAAAATATGAAAGGCCCTTGAAGAGTTTAGTATTGATTTTTCTGAGTATTTGCTAGCTCTTGTTTTCTCATTTGTGTGCTCCTTGATGGAAGGGCCTAGAGCTGCTCCTGAGCCAGAGCTTCAGCAGAGCACTGTACCAGAGAAGGGAGGGAACTTGGGGACTGAAAGAATTTTCACTTAAGAACATTTAGATTTGGCTCTTTAATTGGCTTTGTCTCTTTGCTTCCTGAATTTAGATAATAAATTGTCTTATTTTTCTAAAAGCTGCCCCTAGCTAAACAACCTGCAGTAACCATGTGAGATAACGGACATAAATATTTTAAAATTGTGAGCTTGTGGTCACACTTTGTGTGTGCCTCTTATAAAAACAGCTATACATCTTTATATTTTTCTTCTAGAATTTACTTAAGACAAAGGTTTTGAAAGTTATTACATGAAAGCACATTTCAAGTAGACAGTGAAATGGACACAGTTGCTAAGTTCTAAGCAAGAGTTGGGCATGGTGCATAGTTAAATTCTAACTCTTCTCTGCTGTTCTGTGCCAGGTACTTATTAAAACTTCATCCCTCCTCTGTCAAAATGCACTGTTACTTTAGCTGTAAAACTGTTACACCATAGCTCCCAAATACCTTGTTATAAATGCTGACTGTATCTTTCAATTTATACTGCAGTGAAGTAAGCTTATGAAAATAGTTCTGAGGGATTAAGCTCTAAATACTATTTCTGTGCAGTGGATTATTTTTTCCCCAAGCTCAACGCGTTCATGTTGCATAATGATAAGAAAAGTGTTGTGACAAATGCATTGAAGCTTCATTGGCTCTTGCACATGTTATCTAGCATGTTTGACTAGTAATTTTGAGAAAAGAATGACAGAGATGTTTCCAAGATTTGCTTTGTTGGTCTAGACTGTGTTTTGTAACCATTCTTTCGCCTTTGCCTCAGTTTATGATTTAGTGAAATAGCAAGTACATAAACAAATGAAATTTCTCCTAAAATGTTTTGGCAGTTTATGACTTGAAATTCTTTCAGAAGTTATCTGTTGTTATATCAGTGTTGCTGAATTTTTGGGTTTTTTTTTCTTCCATGCTCGCAGTTTTAGTAATGAAAAAAAAAAAATTAGTGATGCTTAACTAAAATTCCCCTTACATGTGCTTAAGAGTTTCAGAAAACCTTAAGTCCATTAAAAGCCTTGACTTGATTAGCCTTGGTAGTTAAAGTAACTTAAAGTTTTCATCTTGGTTAAGTTGGTTGGAAAAAAATTCTTGATCTCGTATGGCTTTTGTTTTTCCTTTACCTGTTGCATACTTTTGAATTTGGAGTGATGATTATAGCAAGTGGAGACTGTAGAATCTTTAAGCCTATTAAGATTGTACTAGTATGGGATACCTTTAAGTCTAAACCAGATTTTTTATTTATCATTCTTACCTGTTCCCTCATTTTTGTCGTCTCTTTCTCTCTCTCAAGATTCAGCTGTACAAGAAAGCAGCGAGCAGCAGCTGAAGGGAAGAGACCCAGCTGTTTGGCACGTGGGCTTGAAGGTGGCATGGGACATAGAGACACCTGGCTTGGCAGTGCCACTTCACCAAGGAGACATCTACTTGATGCTCGGTAATTTTCAAGGACTAAGAAGTGGAACTTTCTGTTGAAAATAGAGAAAATTACACTTATGTTAAAATAAGTTACCATATCTTCCTTACAGTTAGGACTTTTTTTGTTTAGAAAATCATGAAATCTGGCTGAAGTATACAGTCAATTCCTCCTACTCTGCCTACTTCCAGAGTATTTTTGGGAACTTTTTTCCTTAATGTTTCTTTCACTTTTCAGCTGAGAAAGAAATGGTCTTTTTTCACCGTTTCTGTCTGTTGTGCAGTCAGAATTACTAGTTCAAGTTAGACTTCAGGCCGTAACTAGAATTTCCCCAGATCTTGCCATCAGTTGTGCTCTATCTGTCCCATCCTTGTATTTCTAGATTCTTTTTGTATTATTGATGCAGTTTTTCTGAGCATCTCTCAAGTTCCTGTTCTTCAGCTTGGCTTAGCAATTGACACCTGTATTATGTAAGATGTGAATTAATGTCTTAAAGTTTTCTGGTACCACGGTCCTTGAGGTTTCAGTCATGATGCCAATCTGTGGATATTTTATTAGTCACCAGTTTTACACATGACACTTCTCTCCTTCTGCTACTATGTCTACATTCAAACATGCTGTTTTCGAGCAGTGGGATTATACTAAGATCATAATGAACACAGCTGTCTTACTCCAAGAATGAGTCTCAATGTCTCAAGCGTAGAGGATTAAGAAAAGAAAATTAAATTGAGTTAATTTGCTTGAGCAGCTGAGCTCATGTGCTAACGTTTATCCATTGAAAGAAACGAAGTGAGAGCTGTTGTTAAGATTTGTTGACACAAAATCTGTTGCTTTCTCTTTTGGCTTCTGTTTCTCTTGGCTATAATTTTTGTTAAAATAAATTTAGTTATAAATCACACAAAAACAATAACAAGGTTTCTGACAACATTGTGTTGGCCTATTTAGTGTCTTGGCTTGACAGACATAATTTTTGAAGACCAAGAACACTTGCAGAGCTCCCTACTTCTGTGATTGTGACTTGGAAGGCACATTCTGTGAAATGTCCCTAGAATGACTTGTCACACTCCCAGCTTTATGGGCAGAACAGTCTTTTGAACTTTACCTTTCACAGTTTATATCCTAAGACCAATTCCTTTTATAGTCCATCATAAAAACCACGTAGCATTCCTTGTTCTTAGTTATCTCATCAAATCTTCTGCACTGCCATCAGGGAAGTGTTGTGCCGAAGTACTGGACTAACTGTGCTCTCAAGAATGTTCAGACATGGAAAGATCAGGTGTTAAGATGTGAGATCCTTTGGCATAGTGGTCTGGATGTGCCTCCCTTTTTTGTAAGGGTATGAAGTAGAAGCCTAGAAGGAAAGAGGGGCAGTGAAAATGAAGCTTAAGTGGCAGCTAAACATTGCTAGAAAGGTTATTATAATCAGTTTTTGTGCAATAGCAGTTAGGGCATCAAGTAAACTTCTTATGTAATCCTTCCTGACTGGAAACTTTGAGCATATAGAGCAATGCTGGCCAAGAGATTCAGAAGGTATTTAATAAAAGAAGGGGACTGACTTTAGTATTTTTATTGCAAAATACTGTAGATTGTAGTTGATTGAGTTACCAGATCATAAGGGTGTTTTTTATTCCCTAGTGGAATTTATAAAGTGACTGAAGTATTTTCAGAGATCCTATATGAAGGGTAGATCAGAAAGTTAGTTTATTTAATGAGTAACATCATGAGCATGTTTAGATGGAAACAAAGGATATATTAAACATTCTTTTGAAGATGATGTGTAAATCACTTTCTTATTAGTACTTTTGAAGAGCTACAGATTTGAGCTCTGTAGGCCAGGTGTTATTTTAATCTCTTCTGCATTTCCATAGTCTTTGTGTTTCTTTTCAATTACTTGGGGAAAAAATTACTCTTCTAAATAGTCTTAGAGGGTATTCTCAAAATGGCCATTTTATTAGGTTTCTTTGTGTAGCAGAATTGCCTGTATCATTTTGACTTGGAGTGAAAGACAATATACGGAAACATATATAGTTCCAGTACATTTTTTACTGTTCAGATTTTTTGTACTAACTTTTAAGAGAGGGTATCTTGAAGATGCCAACTAAAAGACAAAATATGAAAACTCTGTAAAAAAAGAAACTGGGCAGTAATAAAGAAAAGGAGGTTCATTTGTCTTATGCTTTTGTACATGCTGCATTCCAGAACCTCATTTCTGTAAGCAGAGTCCTCTTGGTGGCATTATGTTAAAAGCAGTGGCAGAATGGAAGACATCCAGAAAACAGAAGATGGAGGAGTCCTGCAGCTGGTGGTGGTTCCTGTACAGGCACTGATTGATAGGACTGGGAGGGTTGGTTGTGACCACCAGTGACTCACCCACCCCAGCACAGAACTCAGCCACTCTGTAGGTCTGTCCTTCCAGTTGTTGGAGTGGTGTTGTGTTACTGCTTTATGTGAATGTTGAAAATGCTGAAACATCACATTCAACATGTTGTTTATAATTTAAAAGTCAGGTCCTATCAATTCCTGTACCTGTAATACCACTAGTATTTCCTGTGGTACGCACAAATCTATGTAAGAAACTGTGGTAACTGGGTATTTCTTACAATAACGTGCAATTACAGTAACTTGTAAATCAAGATCAATGGGTATAGCAAAGTAACAAAAAAAACCCTTTTTTTTTTTTTTTCTTTTTAGCATTTCTAGTGGATATTTCATAATGTTTCTGTTCCTCTCTTCATTGGCTTTATAAATGATTTTTGTTATTCTGGGGAGAAATTAAGTAAAATGTCTTATAATTTAAATTTACATCTTCCTTCTCAGCAGCCCTCTTCAGATGAAGTCATGAGCCATAATTTAGATGTGTTTTAATACTGAACATAAGGTGATCACATCAATTCTTCTTTTAAGCTATTACAATAACATAAATTTATTTTATTAAGCAAAACCAACAAAAATTCAAAATTACTTTCAGTAAGACATATTGTTAAATAATTTTTTAGGCTTTTCTTAATATGAAGAAAAAAGTCTGGTGAATGGCTGCAAGTCTGCTGCCTAAAAATTCAAATCTAAACTTTATATCACTCATGAAACGGAAACACTTTAGCTCAATTTAGAATAATATATTGGTCTGCAGAGGAAGCGCACACTGAACCCTGCTGTCTCAAGTACACAGCGAAGGGGTGTCTAATATGAAACGTGTTGGGTGCATGCAATAAATCCAAAACGCGTGGAGGTGAGCAAAGGGCCCCATCTGCTCTGTCCTAGAGCATGCTTGACTAGGCTTGTCATGGTCCTACTATTAAATTGGAATTTTTTCCCTAATCTTTGAGTTAGACATGACCAGATTTGCAAGCAGATTTACAATTTTCACTAATTTTCCTACCATGACTTCAAACCATACTTAACAAAAATACATTCTGGACTCTTTCAAAGGCAGATTTACTTTTCTGCAGCTGTTTCCCATAGATCAAGCTCTTAGCTTGAAGGTTAGGGTTTTAAAACAGCATGAAGATGAACTTTGAATCTTATACCACTCCCCACCCCCAGCAAATTATAGTTTGAGAAGCATCAAAAAATTATTTTCATAACCAACCAGAAGTAGTTTGCACACATTGCAGAGGTTGGCTTGTGGTTAAAGATAAGTATTTAATGGAAACACTTCCACATGTATAAAGGGACTCATTAAACTATTTCTAGATATTTAATCTGCTTCTATTTTCACAAACTAACTTGAACCCTCTTTGCTCTCTAGCATCTTGAATGTGTTGGAGCTTTTCACCCCCTCCCTTTTTTTGAGTCCACATTTAATCCAAATGATATATGTCCTACTATTAAGACTTAGAACTCCAGAAATGTATTTGTCATTACCAGACTTTGATCATGAAGTTTGCAAACTCTGACATATTTCTTTCAAATTCATTATTTTTCTAATTTTTAGACTTTTAATTTGTTTTTATTTGTGCATGTTTTTCTTCTTTGTTAATCGTAGTTACAAAAATTAATAGCAAAAGTCCATTCTATTTCACTTTTGCTTGTAGATATTTGTGGTGATAAGAGTATCAAATATTTTCCAGTGCTTTAAACAACACTGTACCTTTTATTTGCCTCTTGAAAAAGATAAGAGACTACTGTCTAAACAGTTCATGAGGAGCACTTTAGAGTAGATAGAAAAGACTATATAAATCTCTTTTGGTAATTCTGGGAGCCCTTTTTCCTTGTGGTTTGTGTTTTCCTGGGAAATACTTTACCTCCAATTGATAAATTTAGCACCTTTAGCCTCCACCTCTTTAAGGATTGGCTAGGAACAGGAAAACCACTGAGGAGGTTTATTGATAGGGGGGTCCCATGTAGAGAACAACACCCTGCATTCTGTACTGCAGTCTCTGTTTTGCTTTTGCAGACCTAAGGGTCAGTGCTTAGTCATGCAAAACTGAGGCTGACTCCTCAAGAGTTGTTTTTTACTGAACCCTACAAGAGCACCGTGGTGCTTCCAACATGGGTGACCAAGGAATGAAACAGCTTTGGTTTGGCTCTAGAACCAAAATAGCATTCTGGGTGTAGTGTTCTGTATCTGAATAAAAGCTTTTAATGCCAGATGGACAATGGCCAATTTACAAAGAGTGATTTTTCTTTTCAGTTAATATATATTTAGGAGAAAAAGAAAGCAAATCTTTGCCACAATCTTTTACAACCTAAAATATATTTTTTGATGTGTTTTGAGGCAGACAAGCAATGAAGCTTCAACTATTTTTGTACAATTAGAGTTTTAGATTTTTTGTCAACTCTTAAATTAAAATTACAGGCTTCTTTCTGAGATTCATAAAGGATCAGAGACAGTTTGAAGCAATTCCAAGGTGCAACTGTACAATGAAAGTTATGCCAAAGGCTTGAATAAAGGTGAAAATCAAAATGTCCTAAGTCTAATTCTATGTTTGCTATATACAGCCACAAAGAATGGGCACTGAAAGGGGTAGTGGAAGCATTTAGGTTTGTTTTCTGACACAATTCTTCTTGAAAGTCATTGTGGTATTTAAATATTGTGAAGTCCAGAGATGATAATGTTCTGTGGTCCTTGCAAGACTGGGTTCTGTGCAATTTATCCTAATATGTGTCTATAGGAAATTGTTTTTTCATAAGTTCTTTTGTTTTGTTTTGGTAGCATTTTGTTTTCAAGAACTTTGAGCATTGTTAGTGATTTTGGGAAAAGAGATTGTAACTTCCACGCAGTTTCTTTAGTCTCCTCAGTAGTTTAGACTTAGTCTCCTCAGCTTTGGAGGAATTAATTTGTTTAGGCAAACTTTCCCTATGAGAGGTGGGAAAATGCCACTTCTAAACTGTATAGGAGAAAGCTAGTGTTAGTAGAAATATTTCTGACACTAGGATAGTAAATAGTTACTCTGCTCTGCAAAACACTGGCGCTATGTGACTGAATTATCTAAGCATTAAAGCAAGAAAAGTGTGAAAAATGTATTTGATTCATATTCAACTAGATTAACTTTTATTAAGTATCATTTTTCGCTGTACTTAAGGTTTTTTAATCTGTCCCTAGATGATCTCAATATGACCCATCAGCACTGTGTTCTGGCTGGTTTGTCCCCTCGGTTCAGCTCCACTCACAGGGTGGCAGATGTAAGTACCAAAACCCTTTCACTGCCTGGTCCCTTGCAAAGCCAGTGTCCTGGTGCCATCTGTGCAGCACCCTGGTGTCTTAGCAGAATTGTGCTTCATGCCATCCTTATGACTCAAAAACTCTTTGCATTAACTGCTGCTGTTTATTTTTGATTGAGGTACAGTTGGTTCTGTATTGGTAGTTGGCCTTAACTCCCAGCTAGGCTTATCCGATGTGAATTGTGAGTGTGCTGCACCACACCTCATGGATTGCTGATGAAATCTAGTTGAGAAATAGAAATTTTATGACATTTTTATTGTACCTTTATAGTGTTCAAGAGGAACATTGGAATACATACTTGGACAGTGTGAACTGGCACTCCAGAATTTGCAGACTGATTCTGATTCAATGGCTTTGTCTTTGAAATCACTGGAAGCTGCAGTGGTGAAGCAAGTAGAAGAAGTACATAATGAGGTGAGATGATCTACACTGAAAATACTTCAGCCAGGTCTCAGCAGTGCAGTCTCATGGAATTAATGGCAATTAAGTGTGTGCTTACAAGGCATTGCTTTTTATGAGTTTGCAATGTGGCTTTTATGACTTCTTTACCTGGGTACAGTAAATAATTGGGGTTATCCTGGAAGTTTTCATTTTTCCTTCTTAAGATCCCTCTGCTGGTAAAGTGAGAGAAGTTTCCCAAAATACTGCAGCAGAACTGACAGTGTGATGGTCAAACAGACTACTCTGGCACTTCTCTAACAGAAAGGAAGAGAGAAGGGATTAGAGGGAAAGGAGCAGGTAGATTTTTTCAGTTATTCCTCCCTGGTTTTTGTTGAACCAGGTTTTTGCATAATGCCATGGGTGGCACAGTTGTGAGCCCTAAAGTATGTTCTGAAGAAAATACAGTGGAAATAATTGTGAGGAACATATTTAAGCAGGTCATTTAGTGCTACAAAAGATGTAAATGTATTAATGCACTTGGACAGGATTCCACTGAAGCTGGAAGTGCTTTCTTGCTTGGAGCTGTGCTTGTATTTCTACTAAGATAAATTAGAAGCTGTACAAAGGTCATTTGCACTCAAATTAGAATTCGTGTAAAATGTTTAAATTTCTGTCTGCTGAGGAATACAATATTGTGTAGTGCTGCTAAAAGTTTGTAGAACACATTTTGATCTGTATTGTGTTTACAGCTGGTAAAATGGAGCATAGTGTTGGCAAAAGATTCACGCCCTTGACTTTTACCAAAACAGCTCCTGGGGCAACTGAAAGGAGTCTGATGCATGCAGGGGTTTACAAAACATTAATCAGGCTCAGTCCATAAAACTACACGCATATGTGGTTTGCACAGCAAGGGCCACAGGCACAGCTGGGATAAATTTGCACGGGTCCTTTAACATCAAAGCCATGTGCTGTTTACATCAGGTGAGAGAGTAGCCCCTGGTGTTTGCAGTCACCTGAATAATTTTGCAGTGTGACATACGGGGATGTTTCCTGTTACACATATGGGATATACTGTAACAGCAATCCTTGTTTAACTTGTACTTATTGTGCACTTAGCAGACACACTGGATCTATATTTAATTTGAAAAGAGACTACCCATCCACCTATTTTTCTATTATTTTCTTTTTTTTTCCCTTAATTTTTTATCCCAAGGTCAAATCTTCACTTGCTATTAGAGTGCTATTTAAATTTCATTTATTGCTGCACAAGTAGACAAAATTTCTAGGGGCTTATCTCTGTGGTAAATGCCTAATTTTTTTTCAAACATCAATGAGCTGAAAATATAAAGACTTGTGAAGCTAATACAACTTTTCTTGTATATAAAAGCTTCCTACCTTGTTATATGATACATCTTTGTCTTTTCAGGCACTAATACAGGTTTTAGGTTGAAGCTTTATGAGGCAGATGGAAGAACAAGAGCCTGTTGTTTCTTAGAAGAATCAAACTGATGAAAATGAGTCTTTCATTTAACTCCCTTAGTTTTTAAGCAATTTTTAATGCAAAATCAAAACAGCACTAAAATCTAAATCTTCATAGGATTAAAGAACTGCCAGTTCTCCCAGTTTCCCAATTTTGCCTCTGTATTTCTGTTATACAGCTTTCTGTGCTATTCATAAAGCTCCTTGGATTTTTTTTTCTTCCTCTGAACAAGAGATCATGAGCTTGAAATGAGACAGTATCTAGAGGTGATGATATTTTATTTTTAGATATTGTCATAACTGAAGTTCTTCAGTTTTAACTCTTATAAAGAGCCATTCTTCTTGGTTCCTTATCTTCCTGAAATGCTACGGGTCCATTCTTTTTACCCCCTTTCTGCCACCTCCAAAGCAATCATCAGAGAACATTAACCAGAACAGAACCATCACAGTACCTAGCTAAAATCTACTAGTTTAGCAGATTCACAGACTGTGCTGAAATTAACTGCTCTGCCAAATGAGGCCTGGGTGAATTATCTGTGTCTGCTCCAGGGAAAAAGCCTAAGAGCAGGTCTGAAAGAATGAGGAATGGTTCTGTGCCTTCACTTTTGTACTCCTGGGCAGGAAAATTGACTTGCTGTGCTGATAAAGTGTGTTTGAACTGAGGATCTGAAGCATAGGTGGAGACTTCATTTTTTTCCAGTTTTTTGGTGGGCAGAGAAACCTCTGAAAGAGTATCTGGGGGGTGTCCATACTTGATGTTAGATTTCCCAGAGTTCATTTTTCAGGGCCCTGTCTTGGATGCCTTGACAGAGGTATTCCTGTTGAAAAAGTGAGATGCTAACCTGAGGAGGATTTTAGCATCTCTGGTGGGCAGCCAGGTGGAAGTTTAAATTAAACCTAGCTTTGTTGTCATGGTCTCCCTCACTAAAACAGCCTTCAAAGGAATATCTGAGTAATTGCAAGGTATGTGCTGTGTGTTAGATGTGTGAGTCACTTCACTCCCAGTGTGCACTTTGCAGTTGTTGGTAAAGATAACCTTAATTAAGGGTGCTCAGTGCAGTTTGTCTGTGCAGCTCATGGCCTGGCAGTCTGCACAAGCTCTGCAGTGGCAGGGGGTAGGAGGCTGATGCAGTTACCTGGCAGCTGGGGAGGACAATAGCCTGACAGCTCACACACAGGCACAGCCAGGTTGTGGTTTGGTCAGGAATAGTTTATCCCAAAAGAAATGGTCTTGCACAATTCTCTGAATGGGAACCTCTTGCTCCTCCTGCTTGGCTTTGCTAAACATGTACAGCTGCTGAGGACATCCCAAACAGCTACAGGGCACCTGGGGAAACCACTGGCAACTAAATTCCTGTTAAAGGAACTAAGTACTCCTCAACAGACAATGTAAATGCTCATACATATAAGAATAAATCTGCAGAAAAGATCTTCACCAGCCTGTTCTTCACATTGCAAAGAAAATTTTTCTTGCTCTGACTAATGCAAAATCTGCTAATAGTTCATGTAGGTGTGGGGTTCTTTCAAGGCTTCTGTATTTGCCATCACCAAACCAATATTCAGATGTTCTCAGTGTGGTAAAACACCAGAGGTAGTCTTATTTATGTCATGGGATTGTGTTGAAAATATGGCAGGTTTCAAACTAGGATCTTAAATTTGAAAAGTAGGGGTTTGTTCACATCAGGGTGTGTGCTCAGCTGTAATAATCAGATCTTGATTAGCATGATTAAAACTAGAGACTGAATTGGTTGCCCTGTTGCTTGTGAGGCACAGTCACTTTTGCCTACAGCAAATCTGTTTTTATGGCAGCAGGAGATAAATTGAGCTTGCAGAATGCATGGGGAGGCAGAGACCTGGGCCAGCTGAGTTGAAGGGCTGTGGTATCGGACACTGAGGTCATGGGTGAGAAGGGAGAGGTGCAGGCAGCCAAAGGAAGGTTGGTTGGTTTGTTTTAGCACATTACAGTGAGCTGACAGCATGGTTGGTGGCTACTGGTATGGCAGAGAGGAAATATAGATCACTCACATGTGTGGCATTGAATAACCAGTACTTTTCAGTAATTGGCTGAAGAGCATTGCCTCACAAAATGTCAAATGCTACTGTTGGCCTTTTACTACCCAGTATTGGCAATAATCTAAAATTGGCCTTTCATCATTGCTTAAAGGACAACCTGAAAATATGTTGAGTAGACATGAGGCCTGATTCTGAGCTGACTTGCACAGATGTAAGTCATAAGTGAAAATCAATTAGAAGATGAAAATTATTCCTCAGGCATTCAGCCTGTATATTTTTATATGTAAATATGTTTAAGCTGTGTCCTCTTCAATCATGTAAAATATTTTCTAATGATGACTGAAGTTAGTTCTCATGTATGGGAGTTTTCAAATTAAAACTCTCTGACAAAATCCTTAGCAAGAACTGTTAACCTGAGAGTTTTGTCACAGAAGATGAATGTTCTCTAACTTCCATTCCAGTAGGGCTAGAAATGAGCTTTTTGTGTCTCTCCAGTATTGAGTGTTGAGGTTTTTTTTAGTGGTACAGCTTCTCCTTTGCAGGGAAGGAGACAAACCAAGAGAAGTGAGTTCCTGCTACAGACAGAAGTTATTACAGAAGAGAAATCATGTCACCCTTGCCTCATCAAGATAATTTTCTGTCTCGGAATCAACAAATATTGGTTCAGAGGTCACAGTTCAGAGCAGACACTTGTCAAGCAGTTTAGTGGCCAGTTTGGAGGGTGGAACATTTTCTCCCCAGCCCCAATTTATTAACCCAGGTTAGAGCCACACAGAGATGCTGTGGGATGAATGCAGAGCAGGGTTTGATAGCTGTGTGAGGTGTCAGTCCACATCATTGAACAGCCTTTGCTGCAATTAGGTACACACTGACTTCTGATGAGACCGGCTAATCCTGCAGAAAATGGACTACCTTGTTGCTCTACTTTATACCTTAGACCTAAAAAACTACTCTTTTGTGTCAAATTATATATGTTTTCTATGGGATCAAGATACATTAAATTTTGGCTAATATGCCAGACTGCATTTAGAGTGAAATTACATAGATTATTGCAACAAATCAATATGACTAGGCAAAAATCAGATTGACTGAAATAGATGTATGATGAGTCATATTTTAAGATTGATTTTAATAAAAATTTTTTTTCATTGATTAATGGCCTTGTGATTAATTTCATGCAACCTGTTTGCCAGACAGCACATAATAGAGGCCAAAAAACTGAAAAAGAAGTGAAGAGAGAAAAAAACCAGTTCTTAAAATTCTAATTGAAGAATTAATTTAAGAATGGTATGCTCAGCTTTCACAAAACTGCATATACTGGTTTTGTTTGGTTTTTTTTCCTGCCAAATCATAACTGGATACTTCATACCTCATTAATATTATAGAGGAAACAAAGTTTCCTTCAGCTTTTTTGGTTGTTTTTTTTTTTTCTTTCGCAAGGATGTCATCAAACTTCTGTGCTAAAAAGTCACTGGCTAGCAGTCAGGATTTTATAAAGACATTTTAAGATCTGTGTCTGCCAACTAATCATGTTATCTTTTACTATAATATTCTTTTTATGCACTGAAAATGTAAATATTTTTTATTTAATCTTTAATGCATGGACTAAACCTTTTGTTAATGTTAACTGGACCACTTTCAGATTTCTGTAGTGTTCAGTTTTCTCTTGCAGGAGAGGGAGTGTTAGGTGACAGCTTTGGGCAGTTTCTTTATTCTCTCACCTTGGTTGGTTGTCTTTGTTTGCATCTTCAGAGCTGAGCAGGGATAAACAAATCTTCTTTGTGGTACAAATAATGATTAAAGCAGCTTTGAACTCAGTGTGAAACATAACTACCACAACAAAGATAAATATGGAATTCTGAAGACCAGGACTATGGATTACTGTTAAGGAAAAGCAGCATCTTTGCTCACTGAGCTGTCTGCTGCAGGATGGGAGGCTGTGATTCCTTGTGCCACCCTCTCATTCCAGAGCAACTGGGCTCCATTCTAGCAGTGTTATTACTGCAAGTGTTTTTCCATCTCCTGTGACTGAAACAATTTGAAACCCACAGTGTTAACCACAATGAGCCAGAGTTGGTGCGTATTTGGCTGGAATTTTTAATGTTTGTTTTACATGTACACCATGTAACAAACGGGGAAAAAAGAGAGTTGAGTTTTGCACCTCTCTGGGTTTGAAGAGAGCAGCTCAGGTCACAAATGTCTGTGGAATAGGAATAAACAGCTGGGTGTATTTGGAGATGAACAGTAAGGGTGTGTTCAGCAAGGACATCCTTTGGTAACTGACTCCTTTCCTATGGGACTGTTCAGGTAGAGCTGGATTCTTGCATTGCCCCATTCCTGTCCCAGATAAAGACTGTGGGTGTTTATGGTGCCACATTTTTTTATCTTGCAGGTTGAATTTGAGTGGCTTAGGCAGTTTTGGTTCCAAGGCAAGAGGTATTTGAAGTGCACTGATTGGTGGCTTAAGCCTATGGCTAAATTGGAAGAATTTTGGAGAAAAATGGAGATTATGGTAAGTACTGGTTTTAAAGTTTAAAGCCTCTAGGGCCTAATTCTGAGAGCGCTCACAATTATGTTTTTAATTGTACTGTAGTAAAGGGTTTTAGACTTTATTCAGAACATATGAGAAGCAGAATCAATGTCAGCCTTTCACTGTCTCCTCTTACTTTTATCCCCCAGTAGCCAGAAAAAATGTGAGCAAAATCAGATCCAAAACCCCAGGATTTCAGTTAGTTCTTGACTTTGCTTGTTTTTAAAGTTTGAATAAAAGCCTCATATGAGCCTTTTAGAGCCTCACAAGATGACAGCCATATATTGCAATGCTGTGCACTGTCAGCTCTTTTGTACAACACCCTGACAGACACCTCTGCAGTGACAACAGTGATGCAAGTGTCTGAGAAAGATGAGAACAGAATTGGTCATCTGGACGTACAACTGTCTGTGCCCCACCTGCACTCTGAGAGCAAAGCCAGAACCTGCAAGAGGGGATTCTGTCAAGAATAAATGTAATAATGATTTCTGGGTGCTTCAAATACATTGTGCATTCTTTGAAAAGGGATTCAGTGCCAAGCACTGTTATCCTGCTGCTGTCCATGTAGAGCCTCAGGTGAGAGCCTGTGCTGTCACAGTTCCAGAGCAGTTGCCAATTTGCCTGTTTTTGGGTTTGCACTCAGAAGGGGCTGTGCTGGCAAGCCCACTGTCCTCCTCTCCATCCATCTGCATCAGAAGCTGCTCCTTGGTCATTTCTGCTGGCCACAGCATAAACTAGCCTCAGTTTGCCTGTACTGGCTTGGAAGGGTTTGTATTGCAGCTGAGGATGCTGAGTGCCATTTGTGTCAGGCTGTGTTTGAGGTGCAACAAGAACCTTGGGTCTGACAGGCAATGCTGTGGCTCAGCTGCTGGAATTCAGTGTGAGCTGCCCCAGCAGTGCCTGGTTCAGACTCTGAAAACACGCCCAGAAAAGTGAACATTGCAATTGTGGAATCAGTTGCCACAAGGAATCACTGAACATTGAATTTCCCTACAAAAGGAGGGAAAATATAACTTGCTTATGTGTTTGGGTTTTATTTTTTCCCCTTTTTTTTGATGTTCTTTATGTGCTCACATTCTTGAACGACCCTTATAATTTAAAAAAAATCTTTTGGTTTGTTTTTCTTTCAAATGACAACTTACTCTCTTGTAACACAGGCTTAGATGAGGTAGAGACAAGAATGTTTGATATTTTATATCCATTGTGTGTTGAAAACATGGAAAAACAGCAAACTCTGTAACTCTCAAGAGCTGGGTTTTCTGCAATTGGTGTGACATTGCCATGTGTCTCTAATTAGAAACATGGTGGCGTCAGTGTATCTCCTTTCAACAAGCCTCGGGATGATATTTATCAGCAACCCCAAGCTTGGGCCAAGACAGAAGCTGCTTCTAATTTATATTTTAAGAACCGCTTTAATGTTTTATGACTTATAACATATTAATCACAATTAATTTCGGCTATTGGAGGAGACAGAGGGGAATGTTAATTGGGACTGTCTGTTTTGCCGGGTCTGTCTGTAAACTCGGGGCGCGCTCCGGGCGCGGGGCGGCTTTGGGCGCAGCGGGCGCGGTTCGCGCGGCGGCCGCCAGGGGGCAATGTTGAGCCGCGCTCCGGCGCTCCCGGCCCGGAATTGCGGCACCGTCAGTGAGAGCGATCCCTGGTGCTCCCCCAGCCCCATCCCTGCCATCCCATCACGCGGGAAACCAACCCGGGTTAACAAATTCTACAGCGATTTAGCATTAAAAGTGCGCTGCTTCGGTGCGTGCTTAGCTTCCACGGCTAAGTTAAATCAAAAGGGAGTTTTTGAAGGTACCCGGTAGTCCGCAGTCGATGGGTTGGTTTGGTTTTTTTCCTCCAAATTTGTAACTTTAGCTGGATAATTCTTAAAAAAAAAATTAAAAGAGAGCGAGAATAATTTAAAACGCTAAAAGTAATGTCTTAGTGTTGTTGGTCTTGTTTTGGAAGCATTTTCCTGCTTACAAGGAATTCTTTCTTAAAAGACAGTATTTAAGCGTGTATTCTTCCTTTGTGTGTGAGCTGAACAACTGTTGACATAGCTTTTTTATATATGTATCTACAATGATACAAAAGTCATTCTCAGGGACCTTCTTTGTGTTTTTTTAGGTTTCCCCCTTGTTTAATAATTTTTGAAACTTTCTTTTCTTCTTTATCTCTGATTCTGCTAATTATAATTACTCTTCTGTCACAGCAGAGTATGATATTGCAAGAAGTTTAACCCAAACCTGTGGGCTTTATTAAATATTTTTGTACATTATAGCAAGCACACAATTTTATCATAATGTTTATTCCTGGCATTTCTTTCCCTGAGGATAGTTTTACTTAGAGCTCACTCTTGTGATGTAAATGTTAAACCTTTCATTTGAATGACATTCTGATAAAACATCACATTTCCCACAATATTACCTCATGAATTTATGAGCCATTAAATCCGAAGCAGTTTAACCAATCTTCCTTTTTTTCTCCCCCTCTCTTGAAAATATGAAGGCTATTCATATGTTGGAAGGTTTTTTTTAAAAGTCATCCAAGATTAACACGTTATCGCCTGCAACATCAGGATAAATGCTTGCAGAATTCAAAGGGAGAGTTACCATTTGAAAAAAGACCGTACAGGCTTTGCTTTCTGGGTAAAGAGAAGTCTGAAAAGCTGAAATCTCATGTGATGTGAGCAAGTCTTGCTGTAGCTGTTCTGAGATTCAGTGGAGAGACAATTTGTCTCTCAGGGTCTGATATCATGCAAACCGTGCAATCTGACATTTATTTTAGCTATGAAAATCTGTAACCACCGCGCCAAATCTGTAAGAACTGCAGAAGTCCAACAGTCTTTTTTTTGGTTATTTTGTTTTAGATTCATTCACATGAGAAAAGTAAAATGTAAATCAATTTTTGTTCGTAAATGTAAATCAATATTTTTGTTTGTGGAATGAAAAGTAAGCATGTATGGCTACACTTGCATGTGGAATTTTTGAAGGCTTTTTTAAACATATCTAGTGCTCCTTAAAGAATAAAAAAGGGCCTTACAGTGCTATATGGTGTGAATTGTATTTCCTGCTTTGACAGTCCATTTAGCAATGTAGCAATGTATTTATATGGCAGTTGGCCTTAATAACCTTTATTGACTTTAGTGGGAAAGAGCCAAGACTGGCATTATTAAAATGTATCAATTTCATTGCAGTATAAAATCACAACATATATAATTATGTTTGGTAGGCTAGGCTCCATTTAATCCCACCTATTTATGCAGGAATTTGGCAAGAGAAGAGAGCGTGGAACTGAAATGTAGAGAAAAGTGTGAGTGACTTGGAGCTGCATTTAACAGCACAGCCGCTTCACTACTTAAAGGAATGAAACATAGATCTTGAGGAAGTAATTTCTTAATGGGATAACTGAAGCACAAGTAGTTGTTGCACCATTTGTTTCATTTTTTGGCATTGATAACAGAGCTGAGGATAATGAAATGCAGCACACCTTTTAGTTTGGAGTAGTGCAAAAGCAGAAGTGTGCGCACTCAGTGTAAGCAGAATGATCAAAGTGGCATTTCCTGCAGGCTGGTATCTTTCTGCATAACTTTCACCTTGATCTGTAAAACTTTTTAAAAACTATCTTTAGTCTCATTATTACTGTTGTTCTCAATAACGGGCTTTTTATCAGTTTACACAACTGAATTGATATCAGAGAGCAAGGCTATTTTTTTGTAAAATTATTTTTCTTTCCTTTTTGAGGTCTGTTTCATTATTTGCTCCTATTGCTATATGTGAAGTAGTTTCAGCTATAAGCCACTATTGTCAGGGGCTTACAGCCTGACAGTTAGAATTGAGTCTACACTGAAACTTGAGCTACAAAATCTCAGCCCAGAGCCATTTTTTTTTCTCCCAAATTAAAGCAAGGATTTAAATATGTATTTAAATCAAGAGCATTTCAGTTCCCAGATAACCATGAAAAGCTCTAAGAAAAAATATGCTTTTACAAGGAATTCTCCCAGCTTTTGTAGACTTTGGCATTTTAAACAACTAACCAATTATTTTTAAAAAAATAGGTAATGGGATCACAAACAGGCTGGTTGGTTGTTTAGCTTCTTTCAGAAATTGCATAGCAACTTAACTGACACTTGAATTGGTTTGACCTTGTCAGCCAAAATTCCAGAAACTCTGAGGAATTATTTTAATTTCTCTTCTGGTTTTCCCGTGGTGCTCAGATATTGCAGTGTCACACTTTATTGGAGGGCCATGTGGCCATGGGTGATGGGATTTGCCTAATGAGCTGTGAAATGCAGGAACAACATGGCAGCTCCAAAACCCAAATTTTACTCATGTTTATTGTCTTTTGGGGCTCTCCTTATCTGTTTAGGCCAGAGCCTTTAAATAAATGTATTTTTGGCAGATTATATTTTGTGTACACTGGAAGTCAGATGTTTCTGGAAATGTATCTTTTATCTTAAACAGCAACAGCAAAACCTGATCCTGGAGACTTTTTTTATTTTTCTTTTTTTTTTTTTTCTGGCAATAATTTCTATAACCCCAATATTTTTAGCTGTCAGAAATGAGAGAAAAGATTGAGCATTGTCTGTAGTAGAATCACAATGAAACTGTAAAAAGAAAAAAAAGTGAAGTTGTATTGCACATCTTTGAGGAAAAAAAATTATTTACAATTCTGAGGGAATTCAGACTTAAGCTTCCAAAACAACATGTGTGCTGAAAGCACAAAAGACTGTGTTTATGATTCTCTTTGAAGTGTTTCTGCAACAGGATAAGGAAAATTTTAGAAACTGTCTGATAGTGTTCAGGGTAAATACTTAAACCCCTTTAGAGAATTTCACACACAGATACTGTGCAGCAGAAAAAAAGGATACTTATGTTTCCTAAAGCTGCTACAGCCTACAGCTTTGTACTTAAAGACAGAGGTGTTGAATAGAATTCTTCTGAGGATACATCCAGTGATAATATCTGCAGGAACATCAGAGCAAA